GGTACTTAGGTATCCAAGACATACCCAGAATTATGGCTTACGTTATACCAAATATCCAGCAGTACTTGAGGAGTACAGCGATGCAAACTGGATATCAGATACTAAAGACTCAAAATCTATTAGTAGATACGTCTTTACCTTGGGAAGTGCTGCGGTCTCTTGGAAATCCTTTAAGTAGACATGCATAGCAAGGTCGACAATAGAATCTGAGTTTATCACATTAGATAAAAAAAGGAGAAGAAACAAAATGGCTTCGTAATTTCTTAGAAGATATTCCAATGTGGCCTAAGCCTGTGCCAGCTATATGCATTCACTGTAATAGTGAAGCAGCAATAGGATGGGCACGGAATCATATGTATAATGGTAAGTCTTGACACATTCGTCAAAGACATAATACCGTTCGCCATTTGCTCTCACATGGAATTATTTCCATAGAATATGTAAAGTCAAAAGAGAATATTGCGGATCCATTGACTAAAGGGCTAACTAGAGAGTAAGTGTACCATGTATTGAGGGGAATGAGATTAAAGCCTATTATTTAAAAGTCGCCATAATGGCAACCCAACCTAATCGACTGGAGATCCCAAGATCTAATTTCAAGGGGACAACCGAATTATGGATGACTTCATGCATCACTAAGGAGGTTTACTCCTACCCATTTCTATGATAAGAAGAGTGATACCTGCAGCGTTAGTAGGATAAGCTTTGCTTTTAATGATTCTTATAGCTTGGACATCCAAGTGGGGTATGGCAGGATACTCTTAATAAGAAGTCACCTATATGAGTGTGAACTGGGCCGGTTCTGTGAGACTTAAGAAGGATAAATTCTCTAGAGCACTCATGAATTACCAGGTGTTGTTTGGGGCCAAAATGAACACAACCGTGAGAACCAAACTATGTTTGCGGATACACTATGTGTAGTCTATTGTCTTAGCTTACACAAACAGCTGAACAGTTCAAGGCATCGCGTCCACTGGTTAGCCAGTAAGTCTGATAGGCTTTCACTAGAGGAGGTTCAAAGTCAAAAACTACCTATCTTGATGTAGTATATCTTCTTTATGAACTCTTTCTTTGTCTGCATTTTGTTGCATGTCCGTTATCGTGAATTCCATTCATGTAGGGGATTGTTAGAAAATGGCTTTGTAATATCTTGTTTTTTGCTAACTTTGAGCATTAATTAAAGCAGGACCCAAGCATTATTTTTAATGTTTCTAACTGGGTTCATGTTTAATGACGCATAATGAATAACATCGCGTATTTGGTTGCTCAAAACCATTTCCGGATGAATGAGAATTCAATGCGTATTTTTGGGTTCGTTGAAATAGCTTTAGGTGGGTTTCCTACACATTTGTTAATGTGTTTGTCTCACATAGGAAAGGCTTAAGGATTCATACGAGTATATATACTTTAGCTTGCCACACTTGAGATGGGCCCCAACGGACACCCCAAGTTTTGTAAGGAGGGGAGTTATTGACAAAGTAGGCTCGGCCCAAAACCACCACACACGTTGCCGCCGTCTGTCCGACCGGTTGGCCAAGCTGGGCATGAGTGCATGTTGTGAGTCGGGTTCTAGCTTTAATTTTTTTGACAAAATTTGTTTGAATTTTTTCAAATTATTGCGGGGAAATTTTGAAATCATTATAGAAATTATTCAAATTTTGCGCCAAAATTTCAATTTCAAATTTTCAAATTTTTCCAGTCGTCTCCTCTCCGAATTGGTGTTGTTCCGATTTCGCCTTTCCGGCCATGTCCAAACAGCCACTAAATCCAACCCGAACAGGTGCATGGTTGGCTATAAATAGCCTGCCATTCTAGCAATTCATTTTATCCAATTTTTTCCAAACATTTTCTTCTTTTGTTTGTCCTCCTATGCTCCTGTATTTTTCTAGCATTTAGTTTCTAGGAAAGGAAAGAAAGAGTTACAGCATCGTTTGGTTCGCCAGACTTGATTTTGTAGTGCTGCAAATCAAGTAGTAGTCGTTACATCCTGGAAAGTAGACGCTGTTAAATCTCAAAGCACCGGAGCGAGGGCAAAATCTACTTTAAAGAGATTGTGTCCAACATAAGCCTCGACTTAAAATTTCTGTAAGCAATTAATTTAGAATTTAATTTATTTAATCATTTTCTAGATTATTTATTTTTACTTTGTTGTTTATTTTATTTATACATTTCATTTACACACGCACACAACCACTGGGGTTAACAAATAGCAATTACCATTGCTGCAGGTCACTACCTCTAAATTTGGCATAAATATTAAAGAAATTTACCAAAGCTTTAGCCAAAAGTAAAAATAAAGGTAACATAATCAACAATACACTGACAGTTAATCAAGACCACATTCACTGGCAGTACAAATTTTAAATAAATAAATTTAAATGCACAAAAAAAATGGCTAAATTTTTTTCATGATAGGTCAAATTTTAGTAGAGTTCAAATTCATGAAAATACCAAAACTCACCAATTGGGAAAACCCACATATTGAGAGCACCAAATTCAAGATAACCAAATGAGAAACAAAATGTGATGCACATAATTGGCCAACAAATTAAAGCTTTTCACTAAACTTACCATTATTAGTACATTACTAGCGAATTGTATTAACTATTGATAGAAAATAGGATCAAGTCAAAAAAATGAAACCGGAAAATGTAAAATCTATTATTGATGACAAAGACAACAAAATGTGAACTATTATAATGTAAAAAAAAAGTGCACATAATCAAGACACCTTCTAGGGCACTAAATGAAAGAAGAAACTACAATGACAAAAAACATAAAAAAGACAACCATAATTAAAAACCAAAAGAAAACATAGCAACTATGATATTTAAGCACCAAAAGCTCTTATATAAATCATGGGAACCAAAAACATTTTCATTCAAAATCAAAACTTCTAAAGTTGTGTCAATCTCAAATGCAAAAAAAAAAAAAAAAAGGATTCCATGAAAATTAAGTAGTTCCAAATTTGTACATAGTAACTAGGTTACACGGACTCGGGTACGGGTATCGGGTGCGGGTGCGTATTTAGGGGTCAGACACTTCAAAATTAAAAATTAAGGGTACGTGGATATGTATCCAAATTTGGATACGGGTACGGGGATACGTTAAATAATTTTTTTTTTAAAATATATATTTATTATATGAAGATGAGTTATATTATATAAATAACAAATAAAAATCTATGGAGATGAGTTATATTATATATATATATATATATATATATTTATTTTAATATACATTAATTATTTAATTTATTTATTATATTTTTTAAACAATGTGTTCTAATTAATTTATTTTATTTTATTTTACATACATGTGTTTTTTTTTTATTTATTAATATATACAAGTATATATTATCTTATAAATATATTATATAACAATTATTATTTAATATATAATAATAATAGTTATTATTATAGTTATTAACTATTATTATTATTATTATAGTTATTATAATAAATATATTATCTAATAAATATATTATATGTTATATAATAATTAGTATATGATTAGTATATGATATATAATAATAATATTTATTATTATAGTTATAATAATAGATAGATTAGACAGAGTCAGGCAGAAGGAAGAAGAAAAGGGGAAAAGGGAGAAGGAAGACAGCCAGGGAAAACGACACAGGGAGAGGGAGAAAAAGGGAAGCGATCGCGATCGCGATCGCTAGGGAGACAGAGAAGGCGAGAGAGAGAGACCGGATGGAGCTTCGATCGACTGATGGAGCTTCGATCTTCAACTGGATCGACCGGATAGAGCTTCAACTGGAGGTCTTCGAGCTTCAACCAGGTTCTTGCTCTCTCCTCCTTCATTTCTTTTGCTGTCTGTGTCTGTGAAGAGCCGTGTCCGAATGAGAACAGGCGAATCCGACACAGATCTCACACCCGCACCCGTGTCGTGTCGTGTCGTGTCAACACGGGTACTTCGCCCCAAAGTGGCGAGTCCATGTAACACAGCATAGCAATGCAGCGCACCACAGCAGATCCAGACAATAAAGATTTAGAGGAAAATTTCTCATTGTAGAGACTTCAAAACCTCTTTAAGAGAGCTGAACCCTATCCCATAGAGTACATATGAATATATCATGTCAAGAAATGTTTAACAAGTGTTGATATCTGACATGGACACGAGACAGATACACCAGAAGTGTCGGCGCTTCTTACGTGCCTTTTTATCAATAATTCATTATAGATGTCTTTTACACTTAGTTGTATATTTTTTCTTGTTTATCCTCGTATCTCACACTATTTGTTTGAGTCTCAATCCTTCAGTCTTACTAAAAGGAAAACCGGTGTAACTATGTCAAAACTTGTATTTTCCTGCCCCAAAAAGTGACCAAGCCAAACTCCATCAAAACACAATAAAATATGCAAAACCCTGGCTAAACCACAGAAAACATAGACAGAGCAATGCAAAAGCAGAAATAACAAAATTCATTCAAAACGAACACATAGCTAACGTTTGGTAAGGTTTACGTTTTTGGTTTATATTTACAAAAATTTTATAAATTGGTTTTTGTTTATTTTTAGAAAAACATAAATTACAAACACGGTTAATTTGAACAAAAATATTTGAAAATTTTTTAAAATATAAACTAAAAAATATATTTGGTCAGCCCTAAAATATTTATATTTATTTTTTATTATTTATGACAATGGGATTATATACATTATAATTGGAAAAAAAATTATTTGAAAAAAAATATTTTAAAAAAATTAATTGAAAAAAAATTATTAGCCAAATTTTTAAATTTCTATTTAAAAATTATGATAAACTCATTTTTTAAGTTTATATTTTCTCCTCAAATTTATAAACTGAGACAACTATTTATAAATAAAAAAATTATCAAACAAGTTTTACGATAATTTTAAAAATATTTATAAATATAAATTGAAAATTAAACGGTTACCAAACACGGCCATAACAACAAATATAGTATATCGATTACTATTGTATAAATTAAGTTGATCAACTAAACAACTCACAATTCTTCTGAAAGTAATCCTAAAACTGAGCTCAGGATCCAACCCAACATCCAAAAACTCCGACCCATCCGGCTCCTTTTCATACAACCCACCGGGTCTCCCGGGATCCGAAATTGTTGGGTTCGGAGTCTCCAACAGAGAACCCACGCCGCCATTACTGAACCCAGTAGTAGTGAATGTCTTCTTGGCTAGCTGGAAATCGATTCTCCCTTTGAACAGAGACCTGTCGGATGGAGGGTCCGACAACCCATCTGGGTGTGTGTTGATCATGAGATGGGCCTCACTGTAATTGGATCCGAGAGAAGTTTTCGGATCTTTGTACCCAAAACCCTTTTCTCTCTCTAGATGTATTGGGTTGTGTATTGGGTTGTGTGCATATAACTCTCTTTCTCTCTCTACATTACAATCAGAAAGTGAGCTTTTGGGTGTAATTGGTTTAGGGAAAAGTTGGGGTCTCGAAAATTTTGTTACGAAAATAATCATAAAAAATTTATGATTTTTAGATTATCTTAATTAGTGTGTGATGTTTTATTCTAAGTGTAATTTAAGGGTTACGAAACTTTCATGATTATGTTTATGAAAATTTTTTTATGATACCTAACATTGCTGTTTGGTTTATGTTTTGAAATAAACTAAGGCTCCGCAAAATATAATTCTACTTATTGATTTGAGTGTGTTGTTTGTTTGGAGCTTTCAAATCATAATTCTATACTTATTTCTTAAAACTCAATTCAAAACATAATCATTATTTTTCAAAACTCATAACCAAACGCATAATTCAAAACTCTTTTTAAAATTAAATTCAAATCAATATTTTAATTTTGTTAAGATTTTCAATATTTTAATATTTAAATATGTTACGATTTTTTTAATTTTTTAATTTTTTGAATATTTTTAAATATTTTAATTTCAAAATATTACGATTTTAATTTTTTAAATTTTAAAATATTTTATAAAAATAAATTCAAACTCTATTTTATAAAAATATTTTTAAATATTTTAATTTTTTTGTTATGTATTTGGTTACGATTTGAGTGTAGAGTTGTGAAAGTAGTATGTAGTTTCAAGTTATGTGTTTGGTTAGGAATTTTTTTAAAAAAAATTGTTAATTGAGTTTTGATTTATGTGTTTGGTTACGATTTGAGTGTAGAGTTGTTTTTAAATTTAAAATATTAACATTTTAAATTATTTAAAAATTTTGAATATTTAAATTATTTAAATTCTTACGATTTAAATTTTTTGAATATTTATTTTAATTTTTTACTTATTAAATTTTTTAGATTATTTAAATTATTTAAATATTTATGATTTAAATTTTTTGAATATTTATTTTGAAAAAAATTGATTAATGTTATTTTCTGTTAATAATAATTTTTTTTAATTGAATTTTAAAAAGAGTTTGGTTATGAGTGTTAATCAGAATTTTCAATAGTGTGAAAGTAGTGTATTTTGTTATGAGTTATAATAATTTGAATTAAGTTTTGAAAACTCTTCCCAAAACTCATAACCAAACAAATTTTCTTACTTCATATGTCAAATCAAACTTTCAAAACTCAATTTAATACTCAATTCAAAACTCAATTTAACACTCTATTCAAAAATTATAACCAAATAAATTTTCTACACTCAAATCATGATTCCACAACTCACAAATTCAAAATACAACTCATACTCTCAAATTATATTTACAAAACTCTACCAAATGTAACCTAATGTTTCAGACCTTCATTGACCCCCAAGACTCCCAGTGAGGTCTGATTGGTGCAGAATTTTTTTTTTTTTTTTTTTTTTTTTCTTCTTTCAATAACCAACCCCTACATGTGTGTGGGGTGGTGGGGGTGGGGAAAATTGGGGTTCTCCATCAGTTCTCTTTGAGATAAATTTTCAAAAAAATATTTTAGGAAGGAAGTTGAGAAATTTTTTTTATTTGTTTGGTTGTATATTTTGAAAATAGTTTTAGAGTTTTGGAGTTTAGGATAATTTGATATTTTGTTATAGTTGAGTATATGTATGTGAGAGAAAAAATAATTGAGAAAGAGAAAGAAAAGAAATAAAGTGATTGATTGATGTGTAGGAGAATGAAAGTGATTTTGAAAAAAAAATTCAAAAAATTTGAATCAAACAAAATTTTAGAAAAAAATTCAAAAATTATATCTTGAAATACAAACTAAACAAACTCTTTGTTTTTTTAACAATAAGAAAGGATATTTAGAGCTGTCACCACCTGTGGTCCAAGTTTTTGAAGTAGTAGGTTTTAACCCAATTTAAAGGAAGGGATTTACTATGAAGATATCAATTAGCTTGTTTGATTTTGATTTTTAAAATACAATTTTCAGAAAATTTTATTTTTTTATTTTTCGTATTTTAATATTTTCAATGATTTTTTTTTAATATTTTAAGTAATTTTTTAAAAAATTTTAGACACACCTAATATAAATACACTTAAAAAGTATAATATTTGTGAAAAAATCTGTAAAAAATACATTAAATACCAAACAATATAGAAAAAAATACGAAAATTCAATATATTTTTCGTAGTTTTGTATATTTATTACTTTTTAAAATATTTTTTTACAAATATTTTACTATTTAGATAGATCTAAGTAAAATGCATCTAAAAAGTAAAAAAAAATATTTAAAATTTTAAAAATATACACTAAAAATAAAATATTTAATTTTTAAAAAACTAAATTCAAAAAACCAAAATTAAACACACTGAATAAAATTAAACACACTGAATGAAATTTAACCATACGTAAGAGACAAGTTCAGATGTTAAGAGATGTACAAATGAGACAAGGTCTCCCAAAAAAGAATAATGTTTCGTAACTCGAAACATTGTTGGCCTGAATGGCTCAACTATCCAAAACGACATCGTTTTAGGTATTTTTTTTTATCCCTCTTGCTCTCTCAAACAAACAGAAGAATGAGACAAAAGAAGAGGGGAGGGGAAGAGAGAAGAAGAGAAGGAAAAGACAGAGTAGGGTTGTGATGGGTTTGCTCGCAAAGAAGGTGATGGCGGCGCCGGTGGGTGGAGGGGTGGAGTCATTCTCTCCCTTGAACTCTCCATTTTCATTGATTTGTTCATTTCTTGATTTATTTGTTTTAGTTTGTGGCTGTGGGTTTGATTTTTGGGTTTAATTTGTCTGATTGATTTTGATTTTTGGTTTTTAGGTTTGATTTGTCTGGTTTTAGTTTTTGATTGATTTTGATTTTTGGATTTTGATTTGTTTGGTTTTGAAATAAACCTTTATTTGAGATTTGTGCACCTTTGTTGTCAATCTTTACTGTCAGTGTGAATCTACAAGTCAACAAGTTTTATTAACACTCAGGTTAGTAATCTCATGCCCATTGAATTCAAAATACCTATCTCTGCTTCCAAATATATCTAAAATAATTGGATTTCTGTGAAAAGATGGAGCTAAATTATGAATAATGTTTGAGAGCTCGAATTTGGCCTCCCCTAATCCCCCTAATCCCCAAAACGACGTCGTTTTGGGGATTTTTTTTTTTAGGGGAGGCCAAATTCGAGCTCTCAAACATTATTCATAATTTAGCTCCATCTTTTCACAGAAATCCAATTATTTTAGATATATTTGGAAGCAGAGATAGGTATTTTGAATTCAATGGGCATGAGATTAGGGTCCAAGAAAGACGCAGTAGAAGCAAATAATTTAGCTCCATCTTTTCACAGAAATCCAATTATTTTAGATATATTTGGAAGCAGAGATAGGTATTTTGAATTCAATGGGCATGAGATTAGGGTCCAAGAAAGACGCAGTAGAAGCAAATAATTTAGCTCCATCTTTTCACAGAAATCCAATTATTTTAGATATATTTGGAAGCAGAGATAGGTATTTTGAATTCAATGGGCATGAGATTAGGGTCCAAGAAAGACGCAGTAGAAGCAAATAATTTAGCTCCATCTTTTCACAGAAATCCAATTATTTTAGATATATTTGGAAGCAGAGATAGGTATTTTGAATTCAATGGGCATGTGGGTTTTGATTTTTGATTGGTTTTGGTTTTTGGGTTTCAAACCCATCTTTCCCAGATTTTTGGGTTTGATGGTTTTGGTGATTGAACAGAGGGAGAGACAAAGAGATGAATAGAGAGAGAAGAAGAGAAGAAATAGAGGAATGAGAGAAGAGGGAGAAGAAGAGAAGTAACAGAGGAAGTCAAAAATCAGGCCAATCGAGCCACAAAAAACTCGAGCTACAAAACAGGATTGCCCAAAAAAAACCAATTGCAAAACAATGAAATTCACGTCAAACCCAAATAACCTGTAGAGAGTTACTTTCTCCACTAAACCACCACTCCTGCGATCAGAGTGAGTGGTTTGGGTTCGACTTTGGTGCGAGAGAAAAACATCATGTACATGTAATGTACATAGTACACTACTCTCTTTCTTTCTGCACTACAGATCATATGGCTAAGTTTGGAAAGATTAAATAAGTCCACACTTTTTATCTTTTTATCTTTTTTTGGTCATATCAATCAACATCTCTTCTCTATTTTTTTACACATCTTTTTATAAAAAGTCAAAAAGTGTACTTATTTAGAATATCCCAAACAACCCCTATATTTGGGTAAATTACACTGACTTCCTTGAGAGTTAATTAAATTGTAAAAGCCTCGCTTAATATTTTTAAATGACAAAATTTTCTCTTAGGTTTCATTTAATTAGAAATAAACAAATGATGGAAAGTGAAAAGGATAAAGAATTAAATAAAATACTTATATTTTTTAATATAAATTTGATTAAGATGAAAATTTTACCAGTAAATAGAAATTCTAATTATAACTAATTACTTTTATAGCATATTTTAAGGTAAATTATACAAATAGTTCATATAGTTTACACGATGTATCAATTTAGTTCTTGTTACTTTAATTTTCTTGATTTTACTCCTTAGTTTAACGGACTGTGTCATATTATTCCAATAAATAACGGTGTCCCTGTAGTTTATACGATGTGTCAATTTAGTCCTTGTCAAAATCGAGCAAATTAAAATAACAGGAAACATATTGACACATCATGTAAATTATAAGGAGCAAATTGACACATCATTTGAGCAGGTGATAACTTTTCGTTCATCAAACCTAATGGCCGTTATTATTAGACCAATATGATACAATCTGTTAAATTAAGGGCAAAATCTAACAAATTAAAACAATATAGACTAAATTGACATATTGTGTAAACTACAGGGACCGTTTGCATAATTTACCCTATATTTTAACTTTCTTGTATTTTTTTGTAAGAAACTATAAACTTATTTACCACGTTGTTACGAGTTGTACAAAAAAATTAACTTTCTTGTAACTTTCATCATTTTTGTAATAAATAAACTCAAAAAAATATATATTTTTTCTATTCTTTAAATTCTATACATTTTTCATCCTAACTAAAGCCTTAAAGTTTTAGTT